GCTCCTCGGCCCCGCCTGCGGGGGGCGCTCCCACGCGTAGGCGGGAGTTCCCCCCTCGTGGGCGCGCGTCACGCGTGTCCGTCCGCGGGTCCCTCTCCCGGCTCCCTCTCCCCGCGCGGAGCGGGATGGGGCGTTCCGGCCGTGCTTTGGGCCCCGTTACACGGGGCTGGGGAGGAGCGTGCGGCCGGCGCTCGGCGGCTCCCGTGGGCAAAGAGAGGAGCCTTGGGCCGCCCCTGGAGCGAGCGACGCGGGGAGGCTCTCCGCGGCTGGCAGGGCGGGGACCTCGGGCTGTCGCCCCGCGCTACCGGGGCCTCCGTTCCCGGGCGAGCAGCAGGTAGCCGGTGTGTTGTCTGTTGGGGTCGACGAAGCGTTGTAATTAAAGTATTCGTCTGAACTAACTTCTTTGATCATCAGGAAATGTAAAGTTTCATACAGCCTTTAATTTTAAAGGAAACATGTCTTCAGGCATTGTCAGATCTTGATTGTGTTTGCCAAATAGACTAACTCTCTTTTCTTTTTTTTCTTCTTTTTTTTTTTCTCTTATTTTTTCCCAAAGCTTTCTCTGTGGGAGAATTAACAGTGAAGAGACCTCTGGTAGGTTGACAGTTGGGTGTTGCTGACGTGTGCTGTAAAACATGCTTCAGGATGTGATGCTGGATTTGCGTGTTGAGATTAGGAGGCAGTCTGTGCGTAAGGTGAAGAGTGACAAAGGAGATTCAAGGGAAAGAGAAGCCAAGAGGAGGAGTACATCTGTAAAGAAGTTGATCATAGTAGAATTGAACTAGTTTTTTAAGAGTAAAGTTGTTAATTGAAATAGGTGGACAGACTGACTTCTGCAGATGTAACTACAGTTCCTGTCTGGTAAAGCCTTCAGGGTATGGAGGATGACCTCTTTTTCTTCCTTCCCAGTGTGGGATTGGCAGAGGCTGGGAGTGTCTGTGAGTTTGGCATCTGTATGGTCTGGTAGGAGTGGAATAAGTTATGTGGGTTTCTTTCTACTGACAGCACCTACTTGAGAGGATAGTCATCCTAGAAAAATTATGTTCTTCAGCCTTGGAGATTTTTACCTTTTATTTCCAAAAGTGATATTAAAATTAAAGACCACTGAAGAGAAGTCATGCCCTAGGGAAGCTGGAAGCTTCACAGATGGGTATCAGGAGGAAAATATGTATATACAGCTTTTGTATAGAGGATATTTTAAAACCACCACTGTTGACCTCAAACAGCTACAAGAGTGTGGGGTCGCTTCTAATCAGATAAGAATGGAAGGGAACCAGTTTTCTGTTGTAGGAATGAAACTTCATCTCTTCTGACATCTAAAGTCTAAGTGTGTGGTTTCTAAGCATTAGCTGTGTGTAGTCTTTTATGCCTTTTATAATCTTTTATACCAGTGGAGGTAGTGGGATAAGAAATGTACTCTGTTTATCCTGCTCAATGGATGGAGGCCAGTTCCTTCAAAGAGTGATTAATATTCATTAAATAATGCTATGCAGATGCTACCAGACATGGCTAGCTTCAAACTTATGCCTCAAGGCTAAATGTTCACTAATTTATTGTAAGTGTATGATCATCCTGTTTAATATGTGATGAATTTGTGTGGAACATCTGAAGGGAAAGAGCACTGAGGAAGCTGAGAGAGTTTTGTATGCAGCACACACAATGTTTTCAGCAACTCGGTGGTTCTGGAACTGTGCTGACAAGGGCACTACTGGGAATATCACTGAAAAGCAACTGTGTTCATTCTAACTTGCTTTGGAGAGTAGGGGAAGCGTGCAGCACATATAATTAAAGGATGGGGTTTGAAACAAGAGGAATACTGTGTTATAATTGTTAATCTTGCACAAAGTATAATGTCTTAATGTGGCCTTAATCCATAGTTTTACCTGCTGCTTATGAGGTATAAGAGCTCCATCAAAACCCAAGTCTTGTCAGTGTTGGAAGAATCAGCACCATCTGACTGGTTGGCTTTGGAATATTAATCTAGCCTAGCTATCTTAATTGAACTCTGGGGAAAAGTAGTAGTGACACTGAAAAATCAATTAGATAGCCGAGTAACAAAAACCACATTAGTGTTTAAATAAATATGGTTATTTGTATAGATGGTTTATTGTAGTTAGAGAGTTTTTATGGTGACAGTTTCTTTTGATTGACAGCTCTTAACCTTTGGAAAAAGCAGGAAAATGGCATCAGAAGATATCACTAAGCTTGCAGAGTCACTTGCCAAAACCAAAGTGGGTGGTGGACAATTGAGCTTCAAAGGCCAGAGCCTTAAACTCAACACAGCTGAAGATGGTAAGAGAAAATACCCTTATGCTTTGGAAGTGTCTCCCTGAAGCTGTAAAATCTTGCAGTAAACTTTCTGCTAATTCTGCACGGACAAGTTTTCATAACATAGCTGTGATGCAGGGGTCCATCAGCTACAGCTGCTTCTGATAGGGACATTTCCTCCCCTTCTGGTACCCTGCTTTGACCTGGTGCCCTGGCAGTGCTGCAGCTGCTGTAACTGGGGTTTGTGTGCCTGGTTTGCAGTTGTTGTATTCTTGATGTTCTCTCTAAGTGCCTTTGACAGTCACTGGGCATTAGAAGTTAGTGCTCCTTTTAAAAACAGTAAACAAGTGCATCACAGCTCTTGGAACAAGACGTGCACAGAGGAACATGCTGATATGTTAGCCTCCTGCCCTAGGTCACTTTCTCTCTTGTTGGTGTATGTGTGAATGTCTGGAGAAAAATGTACATATTGGATCAACATTTCTGCTATGAGCGTGTTTTTCAGAGAGGTTATTTGTTATACTGCTTTTTTTTTTTGGCTAATGCCAAAGGTGGAGCTTTTTAATAGGTTGGCTTAGTAGTTCAAAGGCCCTGAACTTTAGGGAAAGGCCTTGGAGCTTGGGAGCAATAGCAAGTGCCCATTGGCAGGAGAGACTGCAGCTTGCTCCTTTGCCTTGCATAAGATTAGTATAGACTTTTAAATCCTTCCACCTTGACATGTTTGGTAAACAGATTACTTCTGCCAGTCAGTGAGAACTTTTTCCTGTTGATGTGACACCAGTTCTCCCATCAACTTCTGACTTAGTCTCTGCACCTCTCCAGGGATATGTACTCTAGCTTTTAAACTATGTGCTGAATGGCAGAGGAATTTTATTTGGGAAGTAAAGAAACTTACTCTTGCAAATAGGAGGGTAGGTACCAGAACAGGAAAAAAAAATATGAGAAGGCAGGGTAGGGAATGGAGAGTCTTCTTTCTGGTGACCTGACACTTCAGCGCTGTTCCCATTGCTGTTTCAGGTGTTGTTCTAGCTGTTTTTGCTAGAGGTTGAACAAGTATTATTGCATCTCAGGGTTACTGTGGTAACCAAGACAATGGTTAAAAGACCAACTAGATTATCTGCTTCTTGCAGCTGAAAAAGTCATCAAGCAAATTGAGGAATTTGATGGCCTGGAAGCCTTGCGTCTGGAAGGCAACACAGTGGGTGTGGAGGCAGCAAAGGTTATTGCCAAAGCCTTGGAGAAGAAAAGTGAGCTCAAGGTGAGATTCTTAAGTGGGCAGTAGTCAAGGGGAAGAAATAATGTGGAAATAGTGAAGGCCTGTCTAGGCTCTTCCTGCAGAAACCTGCCTTGAAGTACCCCCAAAGCTTGCTTGGTGGCTCTTCCACAGGAGGAAGAGCAACTTTATGAAAACACAGCATAACTTGGAGATTTTGGGATAATGGGAACACCTTCTGCATTCCTAACTTTCTGTTTAGAAGGCTTCCAATCTTAAGCTGGGAAGCTGTGTGAGGAAGAGCCTCTATTGAAGGCAGCATCTTAAACAAAGAGCCGTGGCAACAAAACACTGAGTTCAAAAGAAGCTCTGTGGAGAGTGAGTCTTCAGAGAATGTCTCAATAGGGAGGAAATAATGAAGGAAATGCAACAGGAGGTTAATCTTTGCCCAAGCTATGTTTTCCTACTCTTGCTCTACCCTAATGTTAAGGGGATGCTGTGCTACTGGAAGCACTACACTGTCCCTTGAAGGAGAGTGGTATGAGACATTGATATGCATTAATCACTCAAGTGTGGCTTTTCAAGTAAGTTCAGATTGTTGAGCTTCATACCTTAGTAAAATCTGCATAGCTAATGTATTCTTCTGTTTCCTGTTGCTTTTTTCTGTGGCAATTTTCTCAGCAGAAAAGAATTCCATCTTGAACACAAGCAAGAATTATTATATATGGTGTTTGTGGTGTGCATTTCAGTTACTTCATCCTTGCAAGTGAAGTGACTGTAACACTGGTTCTTGCAGCTCTTTAGTACAATCAAATCACAACCCAAGGGAAGGGAGACAGCATTAAGCTGTCCCCAGTGATGAAAAGCAGCTTGTATGTGTGAATGTTTATTACAGCTGTGTTGACCTAAATGCTTTAGTGGGTTTTATCTGTATGCTTCTTATTTTAGAGGTGTCATTGGAGTGACATGTTCACAGGCAGGCTAAGGTCTGAGATCCCTCCTGCTTTGGTAAGTAAACACTAGATCTGAGACTTCTGACTAATAAAACCTTTTTCTCACCTCTCATGCTTTTTGTGGGAGTCTGCATTTTGGTAGAGCTGATCCTTCTCTGTGCTGTTAGCACTAAATGTTTCAGAATAGGTGAGTGGTTCTCTTTTGCTCTCCGTCTATGAGATGGAGAAGAGTTGATTAAAGCAAGTCCATGCTGGTGAAGGAACTTTTCACTGGGAAAAACATCTTCATGACCCAACAGAAAAAGTGAGAGCTAAGCTTTCTAAATAGATCATATTGCTATGTCTTCTAAGACCATTACAGAGCTCTTCGTCTCCTTGAGTCCTGTGGAGCCAGAACATAAAGCTCAACACTGATGAAGACAGTATTTCAGCAGCGTAGAGTGGGAAATTAACTTTGAAAAGTAGTTGACCTAAAGGGTGGGGATACTATCTTGGTAACTGCTTTATGGTTATCTTTAGCTTAATTTGTGCAACTTCCTCTCTGGATTTAGCAGAAAAGTTTTATTTCCCAATGCAGCTTTGCAGAATGTCTTCAAAGTGGAAATTTTTTTGCAGCATCACTGTCATACCTAGCCACTGCAGTGATGTTGTCACTAAAAGTTAATCCATTCCTTCCCACCCACTGCCATCTGTTTCCTTACAGATCTCTTTAGGGGATGCACTCATATCTGCTGGAGCCCATCTGGTGGAGTTGGACCTGAGTGACAATGCCTTTGGGCCAGACGGTGTGCGTGGCTTTGAGGCTCTGCTGAAGAGCCCTGCATGCTACACTCTGCAGGAACTCAAGCTCAATAACTGTGGCATGGGCATTGGTGGTGGCAAGGTAAGGGTTATCTCCTCTTTGGGAATGATGTTGGAAGCAATCTCTGGTGATTGCCAACTCCCCTGCTTAGGGCAACTACAACTACACCAGGTTCTTCAAGCTTGGTCTAGTCAGGTTTTGAATAGGGAGACTTCACAAGCTCTATGAATAGTCTATCCCAGTGCTGAGCAACCCTCATAGTAAAAAAAGGGAGTTTGTGTTAAAATGGTATTTTCTCTGCACTTTGTGTGCAGTTGTTTCTGACTGCCTTCTTTATACCACCTTTTCCACTCATCTTGTTGTTCTGGCTGTTTTTACACAGGGATAATATTTTCCCCAGAGCCTTTTCCTCTCCAGCCTTAGTAATCTCAGGGGTCTGTATTAACCTAGTGAGTAAAGTTCTCCAGTTCAGGTCCAGGCACCATTTGCTGGACTCACCCCAGTAAATCCATGTAGGAGCCTTGTACTGGACACTCCTTGAATTTTTTTCACAGGGCTAAGTAGAGAAGGATCTGACCTCCTATGAGTCTTTTTTCCCAAGGCAGGCCCATAGAATTCCTTTGCTTCAGGTGTGTATTGTTAGCTCATGGTCAACTTCTTACCCATATATGCTTGTCTGATTAGAAGCAAAATGTTCTTGATGGCTCAGTGAGTTTTAGTGTTGCAAAATTATCAATTCTTGCCTGAGACCACAGCGTGCAAGTGCTGCAGGCAGAGACAGTTTTATTGTATACCCTGTTGTAGAAACAGGTACATTTCAGCGATGCCCAAAGTATTTCTCAAGGGCTGGATCTACGAAACACAACAGGATTCCTGTAGAGTGATATGCTGGGGGAGTTTAAGCTGCTTCTTTTATCTTTAGATATTGGCAGCTGCTCTGAAAGAGTGTCACAGGAAGTCAAGTGCCCAGGGCAAGCCTCTTGCTTTAAAAATATTTGTGGCTGGCAGAAATCGTCTGGAGAATGATGGTGCCACTGCTCTGGCTGAAGCCTTCGGGGTGAGTATCAAACCAGAGCTGCTTTGACAGCACGTTGGAGCAAGCTATGATTCAGCACTAAAGATGATGCACACAGAGTTTACCTCAGCTTGGAGGCAGGAGCTGGTGGTCTGTTCACTGAAGTCACAATGTTTCTTGCTGCTGAAACTGGAGTCTTCAACAAGTGGAATTTGAGTTGGTGACCGAGTGTTTATATGACCTAAATTTCCGAGCACATAACTAGTAGCTGTGTAAAGTAGTTACCTGAGGGAGAAATAGTCATCTCCTAAGTAATTTAATGGTCCTGTTCCTTTTCCTCTCTATGCTAATGGTTGTTGACTGGCACTGGGGTAGGTATCCCAGCTTGTTCTCTTGAGTGCTGCTTTGCTCAGTTATCTGGCAAAAGCAGCCCAATGTTTTTGCTAGGATCATCTGGTCAGAGCTGGAAGTGTTGCCTGGCTTTCTCTAGGTGTCACTGACCCTATTGCACTTTTGTGGGAGGAAGAGAATTCACTGTGATTGAGGCCACCTAATTCCCTTTTCATACCTCAGTTGCTGCTAGGAGTGACTTCTGAATTATATATTGTCAGATATATTGACAATGATATTGCAGGTTACAGGTTAACTTTTTTTGTAAAGAACTGCCTATATGTGATTTTGAGTAATCAGAAATCATGGCAAAAATAAGACTTTTTAAATACTTAAGAGTTGTATAACAATGTGATTCACGGAGAATCAAGATTGAATGGCACTGCCAGAATGGGGTTAATAACTGTGTTACGTGACATGCTGTTTAGTCCATAAATAATATTTGTACTAGTTTTCTTATGTGTTTGCTTCTGTGGTCAGGGCAAAATGTAAATTTTAATTAGGAAATTAGTGATGTTGTGTGGTCTATTTCAGTGTTGTTGAACCACAGGTGGGATCTTGTTTTAAGTTAGAGCAGGCATATAGGACAATGATACTTGTCTCTTTGAGTCAGGGCTTTGTATTTATCTGGCACTTGCCATGTGTCTGTGATTTCACTTAGATTTGTGACAGAATTGCTGGTAAATAATTCACTGTAGCAGAACCAATGGAGTTTTGAAACTCAGAACAATTTTAAATAAATCCTAAGAGCGGAGCAGTATACTCCTGAGCTGAAGTATGATTTCTAAAAGCTTTTTTTGTCTACATCCTTTCCCAGATCATTGGAACTTTAGAAGAGGTCCATATGCCACAGAATGGAATTAACCATCCTGGCATAACAGCACTGGCACAGGCCTTTGCTATCAATCCACTGCTTAAGGTTATAAACTTGAATGACAACACCTTCACAGAGAAAGGAGCTGTGGCCATGGCAGAGGTGAGTTGTTCTAAGCAGTTGTTTTGGATTTTGTCTCAAGTCTGGTTGGCATTAACGCCTTTGGGCTGGTGGAACAATGCCATGCTGCAGTGGGGAAGATGACATTCCAGAAGTAATAGGATGTGCACTTACTTGCATGTCCACTTTCAAATCTGTGTTGTCTTGCTCTGCAGACTCTGAAGGCACTTCGGCAGATTGAAGTCATCAACTTTGGGGACTGCCTGGTGCGTTCCAAGGGTGCTGTTGCTATTGCTGATGCTGTTAAAGAAGGGCTTCATAAATTAAAGGTATTGTCTGCTTGCTGTTCAGCTCTTTTGAAAAATGCCAAGTTTCCCATTTCATGTTTTTCTGTTCATTCTCCTACCACTACTGATTACTTCAAGGTAAAATTCAGTCTGTGCAGGCTCTGTGCTCACAACTGAAAAGCAACAAGCTGTGCTGTAGATCAGTGGCATCCCACCATCCAGTGAGGGCTGTGCTATGTGGAGGTGTACCAGTGATCTGTTTAGTCTTTGCTTGATGTTTTTGTAGCTGTTGGCTCAACTCAGCAAGTGCTACTCAAGAAATCTGATAATGGAAGTACCTGCTATTAGAACTTCCCAGAGCTTCAAAAGTGGGAAGTGACACAAAGGGGACTTCATGAACAGCTTGTCTCCTCAGCATTTCATAGCTCATACAGTTAATGCTTTTTCTTTGTTAGAGCATCAACCAGGGGTCCAAGTATATTTCATTCTGTGGTGATACCACTGCCTTCTACATCAGTATTTGCACAGGACTTGAATCTGACAACATTCTGCATAGGCTGAAGTCAAATTAATAACATAAGCAAACTCGGATCTCTTAAAAACACCTGCCATGAGTCACAACTGCCCTGAGACAGATGCTGAACATGTGATTCCTAATCTTGCAGTCAAAGACAAAAATTAATATCTGTGTGTATGAACCTGGTACAGAAAAGTTCTTTGTGGTGTGTGATCCCTTGCTTGGGCTTCTGGTTTTACTGGAACTTGTTTGAATCTCCCAAGCAAACTTAAGTAATGGGGTGTTGAGATGAACAGACAGAAGTTAAATTGTTTTTTCCAGAGTGGAAATGGTTAAGGAAGAGTAGCATGAAGCAATTTCAGCTGATTCATTCTGTTCAAGGACTTCTTCCTTTCTGCTGTTAATATTCAATCCCTTCTCAGGAAGGGATTGATTGAGCACAGTGTGGAATGGTGGCGGAAGGTGTCTGGCTGTTGAGTCACTTCACTCTTACTAGTCCACATGGTTTCTCTGTTGGCTGGGTCTGTCAGAAGTAGTACCACTCATGGCTTGTTTTTTGAAGGCCTGAACTTGCAACTGAGGTGTCAAAGGAAATGTGCAATCTGTTTAGTACAATAGCTGCCCTTCTTCTGTTAGACTTACTGGAGAGTGAGTTTTGGAGTGCTCTTGTGACCCTTGATAAGTGAAGATCTCATCAGCTGACTGCTAAGGACTGAAATGTCTGCTACCTTTGAGGTGAGCAGTGGTCTGTAGGTATTTTAAAATTACCACGTCTAATATAGTGCTGCTCTTAAGTACCAGTATGTTTCAAAATTCCCCTTTCAAGTATATGAGGTAGGAGTATGTCAGGCTTTATTTTCAATTAGCAATACTTTTTTTTTTTTTGCTGGGAGCCTCTTCAAATGAAGGTCTTTCCAGGACACTTGTGAGGCCATGAAATTTATGGGTATGATAGATGTTAATAGGAATTCTGCAGACAAAATGTTCTTCTGCATTTTTAGGAACTGAATTTGTCTTTCTGTGAGATCAAACGAGATGCTGCTCTGACTGTTGCTGAAGCTATTGAAGATAAGACAGAGTTGGAGAAGTTGGATCTCAATGGTATGTAAGTTTGCTAGATCCAAGTATGTCTAGTTTGATTCCAATGAGAAACCAGTAGGAAGAATGTTGACAGAACCACAAAATCTGTTCCTGCAAGTGTCAGCATATAAAAACAGTACTCAGTAGCTGAACTTGCATGACCTTGGGACAGGAAATGGTTGGATCCTGAAAGCTTTCTTAAACCATGAACTTGGTTAAACTGGTAAGCATTTTTAGTATACCTGAAAGGTGGAAAGATTAAGCTGATATCTATACCTGTTTTCAGTAAATCTCTGATTATTCAATGCTATCTCAGATACTTCATACCTGCAAACAAAAGCCTTTATGTTCAACTCTGCCGAAGAGTGAGAACTTTTGACTTTTGTTGGCTTTTGCTGTTTATACCTTGGGTCACTGCATTTCACTGGTGCTATGCTGTGTGTCCTTGTTTTAGAATTGCTAAGTTCAAGAGCTATTTAGAGAAATAACAGGAAGCCTCTCAACCAGACCCTGAAGCATTAGGGGGTTTTCACCTCCAGCCATTGTGTAATGCCGCTGAAATTTCTTTAACAACTGTTTGATTCTGTCTGAGAAATGCAGTTTGTGTTGCTGCCTCTAAGGTGGTGTGCAGAAATAGCATTTAACTGTTTGATTTCAGAAACAAGAGATAGACAAGAATATACAGCTAAGTCCTCAAGAACAAACTTGTGTGCATCTGTCAAGTCTACTCCCTTTCCTCTATGAACCTAGGTAACTGTCTGGGAGAGGAGGTGTGTGAGCAACTCCATGAGATCCTTGAAGGCTTCAATATGGCATCAGTGCTGGGATCTTTGAGGTAGGCATAGTACCAGATTTTAAATCAGAAGTTTTCTGACAATTTTCATCAACACTTTCATTGACTTATCTCATTTTAAAATAAGAACTCTCATTGCTGGTGGATGTTGATCTGAGTGTGGAGCACACCTAAGGATGTGTCTTAAACTTGTTTTGTTTTCATTGATGGACTTACTGTAGCATTAGTAACTGATTGTGTTTGTTGATCTTTTCGTGCTGTTCCCTGCTGGGTGAGTGATGTCTGAGCATCCTCTTGGTGTGGTGTAGGTGAGATGTGCTTCTTGCAGTAGGAACTTTGAGGAGAGGCTGCTCTTTTGTTCTTGAAAAGTTGAGTGCCAGTGTACAGGAATTCCAGGTCTAATTAATGGAATGTGTAACATTCAAACCTTAGTGATGACGAAGGGGAGGAGGATGAGGAGGAGGAAGAAGATGAAGAGGAGGAGGAGGAAGAGGAGGAGGAACAACAACAGCTGAAGGAGAGAGAGGAAGAGCAGGAGTCACTGACTCCTAAGAAGATAATTGATTCACAGGTAAGCTTACTGCCAGATGGATTCTTGTTTCATCAGCTGGAGAAGAGTAAAGGAGGAAATGAGATTCTGGAGTCTGAACTTTAAGTGCTGACAGGCAGTCACATTCTTGCATGGGCTGGCACTATTGTAACAGAGATAACATTCAGGAAATAAAATTAATTAGTTGAAAAATGTATTTTGTTAAAGTGGGCATGTTGTACATACATGTGGAGGGAAAGGCTGAGTAGTGGTGGTAGCAAAAATCTTGCATGTTCAGGAAGTGGTGGGGACCTTGTACATGCAGTGCCATGCCCTTGTGCTTCCATGTCCTGGCCATTCCAGCTCTGGCCTTAAGTCAGCCTCAGGCTGTTTTCAAACAGAACAGATTCTGGCCTGGTATAGCTGTGCCCTAAGCAGTCTCATCTGCTTCTGCTGAACCAATTTACTTTCAAGAATAAACTTAAGATGAATTCTGCCTGTTTCAGGCTTCAACTCCAGTGCTCTCTCCTCCTGTGGATGTTGCCACATTCCTTGCTTTCCCATCACCAGAGAAGCTGCTGCGACTAGGACCAAAGTGCTCTGTGCTGATAGCTCAGCAGGTAGGTGAGCTGGTGCTTGCCTGGGCATGTTTTTTCTTTCAAAATTGTTTAATTGCTAGAGGTGATAACTTGACCTAGATTTGCATCTTTTCTCCAGTGATCCCAAAGAATCTTATGGAGGCAGATGATGCAGCTAATGGTGAAACTGGCATCAGAACTTGTACAGAATGTAATTTTGTTTTGTGTTGCTTGTGCCTTCTGATATGGCCAAGGCAAAGCTGATGTCAGTCAGCTGAAGACAGTAATTCTTGCCAGAATCAAGCAGAGTCTAGCAAAGACCCATGTTGTGTAGCTGTCTAGCAGTTAACTGATCTCTGTATTTTCTCTTTCAGACAGATACATCTGATGTAGAGAAAGTAGTTGCAACCCTCCTAAGGATATCCTCAGTCTTCAAAGATGAAGCCCCTGTGAAAACAGCAGTGCATGAGACAACAGGTGACTGGATCTTTCTTCACTTTGTGGTGTGACCCGGTTCAGTGCCATAGACACCACTGCAAGGTGGGACAAGGCCCCTGTGGGCCAGGCCATTGAGCCTTTTTGTCCCTAACAAAAAACAGGGACAACAAAGTGCAAAACTGTGCTCCACTGCTGTGTGGAGTGGAAGATTCATTCTGAACCTGCCATATTTTGTGCTTTGTCTCTGTTGTAGCTGCTGTTGTTGTGGGCCAGTGCTGCCCTTAGTGCATCTCCTTGATGCTGGGCTGTCCATAGCCAGTAGTTCTGGGTTTTAAGGTCAGTTTCCTTTCCAAGGCTGTTTATTTAAAAAGCATGTTGCAGAAAGTAGCCTCCCTAGTGCAGTGTTATGAGACTGTAAAGAGAGACCTCTTGTTGATGTCTCTTATCCTTAATTTTTTCAGGAAACTGATTTCCAACCTGGAGCAAGACACAGAAACCAATGTTCAAACAAAGAGCCCTTTCTCAAACTATATTGGAGTACTATTGGATTAGTGTGTGGACTAATAGTATATTCCTTCATGGTTTTGCTTGGAAATCAGAATTTCTAAGCAATCCTGGGCATGTGACCACTTTGATATTTTTTGAATCCTCTAGCAGTTCAATTCTCCCACACATTAGCTACCTATCATTATTGTGCAAAAAAAATGGGATCAGTTATTTTGAAGCCCACTTAAGGTGGTTTACTGTGTATTTCCCTAATTTGGAATTTCTTTGTTTGGAATTCATAGACATGGTGAAACTGTTGTTTTACAAACAGTAACACAGTAGTTCTCTGTAGTTGGTTATAGTTTCCAGTCAGTGAAAAATAGTCAGTTGGCACCTCACTGAGCTAGTGCACCTTGGCTCATGCCTGTTAAGAGTTGTCTCGAGTAAAAAAATAGAACAAATGATATTACTGTTATCCCAAGTGTGTTTGTGTACATAATTCTTTATTCCTCCTTCTTCAGGAAAGGTAGAACCTGGCAATTTTCTTCCTTAAAAGCAGCCATCAGCTGACAATGAGGGCCCTGGTTAATGTTTGGCACTGTTCTACAGCCACTCTAGTGAATTCTGCCTACTCTAAGAAAACAGAATTGTCAGAGGTCAAAAATGGGTTGTCTTGCCCCTTGTACACATGAGATATTAAAGTGCTGGTTTGCCCATTGTTTGTAGCACAGTATTGGTCCTGAGGGAGCCCAGAAAACAGCTGAACAAACTTTCTCATTGTGCTCTCTCATTCCTTGTGGTTTGAAATGGAAGGTGAATTGTTTCTGGCCTTTAAGAAGTCAAGGCTCTACCTTTTGGTGCACTTGCTCATCTGCTCATGTTTATATGTATGCTATGTCTATACATGCAAAACATGCTCAAGTGCACAGAGCAGAGTATCTGGTGGTGCACAGGACCAGGATGTATTGCATCTGAAGCTTGGCAGTGTGGGAATTCTTATGTGGGCTTTGTGTGTTCTGCTGGATTTTTAAAATTTGTTTTCTCCTTTATACTTAAGAGGTTTTACCTGTCTTAGTGTTTCAGAGCTTATGGCTACAGGGACAAATTAAATCTTAACAGATATTATACCACAAAACTGATTTAACAGCTTAGTTTCTTTATGATCCATTTTAATCTTAAAATCCATAAATGTCCTTTTCCTGTATTGCTTAAATTAATGTGCATATCTCTTTTTAGATGCCTTGATGAGGAAAGCCTTCAGTTCTGCCACATTTAATTCAGATGCATTCGTCACAAACCTTTTGGTCCACATGGGACTACTTAAGGTGAGGAAGCAGGAAAGAGTTAAGTCATGGTCTGTTTAGGCTGTTGAAGGCCAGACTGGCAGGATTTTGGGTAATTATGTTGCCATGGAAGCAGCTGGGTGCCTGTGCATGCCTGATGCCCAGGGACAATGGAAGTCTGCAGGTCGAGCAGAAACTGCAAATTGCAAGGCTGCATTAGGATGAAGGATGTGTCACCTTTTTGTACATCTGCTTAATGTACTTTGCATTCTCAGTCATTCCCTGAAGGTAGGGAGGGGCAGGTAGGGCAATAATGCTGCTGCTGGACTGTGGTGTCTATAAAAGCCATGTCAATGTTATTAGTTATTGGCAATGTTATTAGTTATTTGGCTCCTTTAGGGCATTTCTTGAGAGCATGTCTCAAAAATGTGTATCAGCTACTCATGCCAGATCAATGGCATTCAAATTCATGCTTTGGAGGCTCTTTGCCAAATGCTAGTGTTAAGTCATTAGTTGCAAGGAATAAACTCATTGTGAGAAGATGGAGGGTCAGTGGAAAGCCTGTGATTTTAATAGAATTGGTAGCTTTATTTTCAGTGAGGTGACTGTGGAGAGGTTCTGTCTGCAACACCTTTGCCTGCTTGTGCTACAGGGGTTAGTGCTTCTTGCTGCCTCAGGAGCTGGAAGCTGAGAATATAAACTTGAACTAAGACAATTCTAAACTACAGAAAAGCCATAATCTCAGTTATAGCAGCCTGCTATTAAACAAGTTTATGAATGTCCTTCTGGTTATATTCAGCTTGGGGGCCCAGACCCTTGTTGACATGCACAGATAAGATTTAATTTCCTAAAAATCAATTTAGCCTCTCCCTCTATTCATTGTATGCTGGACCAGCACTGAGCTTCCTACTTCCCAGAAGGGTCAATGGAAGCCGAGGTAGTGTTTGGTTCTGCAGAATGCCTCTTTTGAGGACTGCCAGCTACCTCTTTCCCATATGGAAAACAGCGATATGCATGAATGACAAAGCACAAACCTGTGCTCCTGAAGAATTCTTTCAGGCCTGGAAGTGGCACTGATGATAAAGCCCTGGAGGATCAGCCTGCTGATTGTCATCTCTGGTGCCTAATTCATCACCACTCCCTTACATGTGGAGAAGGTGCATACTGCATTTTCAGTCCTATGTAGCTAGAAGCATGTGGGCAACCGATATTCTTAATACTGTAAACTCCAAGGTCATACAGCAGGGACACAGGTCTGTGACATATTCTGCAGAATGAGGAGTTTAGTTGAAATGCCAGTAGAGAAATAAATGAAAACAATGTAAGAGATGGGACATGTAGGGTAGCATCACGTTAGGAGTAAGAATTACTTATGCACCATGTAAGCAAGGGGATGACTGTTGGCTTTATCTTGTATATAACAGTGAAATCAGTTCTGGGAACACTGCATCAGGTTCTGTAGGGAGCCTGACAAAGAGCTGGAGGTGGTATAAAAATGACCTACAGAATAATACAATAAAAATTAAGGCAGCTGAATTCTTTATGGACTGAAGTATGGTGAAATTTCTCTTGAACACTTTGACACAGAGCCTCTGAGAAGATTTGGCTGTTTCACTTGCAGATTCACTGCTTCCCTTTACCTATTAGTACTGCTGTCAGTTGATAAGTACTAGAATGTTCTTGATACATTGTTTTAGGTGTTGGGACACTATGGAATTGGCCACCTTTGTCTTGTACTTAATCTAGTGACCAGCTTTCTCTGCTGCAGTGTGTGGGAGCACTTCATTTAGCAGAGAATTCCTTGTCTGTGAATTACAGTGGGTTAGATCAAATCCCAGTTGTCTGATGTCTGATTTCTTGTCTATTTCTCAGAGTGAAGAGAAGATCAAAACTGTTCCAAGCCTCTATGGTATTCTTATGACCTTGAACCATATGGTCCAGCAGGATTATTTCCCTAAATCCCTGGTCCCAGTTCTCTCAGCTTTTGTTACAAAGTGAGTATTGTATTTGCCATGCAGTTTTCTCTGTGGGAGCTTGTGAAACTGTTTGAGGGTTAATAGCTACATGTAAGCTGCTGTGAAAGCCCACTAAATGTCTGTTCTGAAACTGAGAATTAATAGCTTAATGGGCCTCTATTTTATCTTATTTACCCCAGTATGTGAGGTTCAGAGTTTAAAGAAAATCCTAAAGAGGGAAAAGTGGGAAGTTGGCTTTGTAAGGAAGTGGCTCTGAAGGAGAGACTGCTAATGCCTCTCACAGAAGAAATATTTTGAGCTTAAGGAAACCTGCTGGGTTTCTGGCCTCTGCTTAAGTGAACTGTGGGTAGGCTGGCTCTAACTATGCCCTCCAAGTCATCCTTCAGAGTTAAGAGGGTCAGCAGAGCTCTGCCAGAGTTGTCATGCTGTGTGACACTGAACACCAGCAGATGAAAACTGCAAAGCACAAAGACTGAATTGTTTTTTTTAAATGGAACTTCCTACTGTGACAGCAGCTAAGTTAGTGATTTTTCTGAGACCTAAATGGGGAGCATAAGTACTGAAGAAGCTGCTTTTACTCACTGCCAGTACTTAGTGTTGTTACTTCCACTAGGGTATAGAACCAACCCCTGCCCCCCCCCAGCTTTAGCTCTTTTAATGTATTAAATGGCTATGGAAACCATATCTCTCTGGAATTTAAGTCAGTGTCAACTTCAGCATTGATGAGATTTAAGGGGGAATAAAATCCACCAAATAGATTTGCAATAGGATTACTTACTACTGTTCAACAGTCAGAGGAGAAACAGTCCAAAAATGTCACTTTAGGCAAAACAGCAGAGGCCTGAAATCTATTTGGAGCTTGATGTGGCTGGCTCAGCATGGACCATATGCTGTGTGGGGTGAGAGCAGCTTTTTGGCAGGTTCCATAATGAGGCTTAAGCCTTCCTGAATTTCATGGTATATGGGTTAGCAGCAGCTGCTTAGGATCCCTTGCTGGTGAAAGGTGGAGGCATCAGATAGTTGTGGTCAGTATTAAACATGTACAGTAGGCATGCAGTTGAATATTGGCAGTCTGTCTTAGTTCTGCTGGGCTTGGAAGGTGGCCAGTTGTGATAGGGGAAAAGAATTTTTCCAAGCATTGCTGTGGCTGAAGCTGTCAAAACTGATATGCAGCAGTGGTTTGTGTCCATAAACGCCAACCATGCTAAGGTGAGTTTTGGAAAAGAAAGTATCTTGTTTACACATGTGCAAATGCTAACTGGAGGCCCTTCTTGTGGAACACTTTGCCTGCTGCCTCCTCTATCTTTGATCGGGTTACAAGCCAGTGACCATGTGCTTTACCAACTGAACAAATATACCTCCAACTCGATCATTACAGGTTTAAGCAAGAAGTACCAGAACTTGCCATGTGAAATTACCCAGACTTATCACTGAATTTCTGCTGTTTCCTACACTGCTGCCTTGATCTTGCTTGTTGATCAAGCCCCAGTCTTCAAAATGGAATTTAAGTTGCTGGAAGCTGAGAATACAGAAGAAGGACTTCTGTAAGAAGAAAGGGCATTTGACTGTCTTGTTTGTGTCAGGTAGCAGGGCCCAGAGTAGCCTCTTAATTCTAAGTGTCCTGACAAATTTTGTTCAGCAAAGACATTTGTCTCTCTCTTCCTGTACCTGTGCATGTAGGCTTTTCCCAATAAATGTTTTCAAGCTGTACATGACCCTGTATGTGACAAAATAAAGAGTAAAATTTTGGTCTTCATGAATTCATCAACGCAAACCCCATTGAATCCAGAGCATTGCACTACGAGCACAAGAGGGGAGAGTCTCTTGGTGGAAGTATGAGACTGCTCATAGGTTCTGTAGAAGCTGAGTGAGAGCCTCTCTCAGTGGAAGGCAGATTTTCCTGCCTGCCTGTGCTATGTACCAGTGCTAATAATGTCAAGCCTCCACTGCCCCTGGTGCTATGAAATGCTTGGAGCTGAAGTTTTCTGCTTTACAAACTTTTGAAAGCTGTGAGGTTATAGGGGATCTTTTGTCTTGTGCTGCATAGTTGAAGTCCATGCTAGATATAAGCAATCTATCTTTGTTACATGAACATAGGCATTTCTTACAATGCTTTCCCTTAAAGGGAATGAGGACAACAGCTCTTAAATCTCTGTATTGGGTGAATGTAAGCAGTTCAAGAACCCCACAGTCCATTTCAAACAGCCTGTTGTTGTTAAACCCCAGCTACCACTTAGCCTCACACAGCCACTTACTCTCACCCCAGTGGGATGGGGAAGAGAAGGGGAAGACTGAAAGTGTGCAGACTCAGGAGTTGATGTGAAGATGGGTTAATAGGTAAAGCAAAAGCTCCATCTACAAGCAAAGCAAGGACTTAATTTACCACTTCCACCATTTCCAGGAAAGCTCCATCATAGCTAGTTTCTGCTTTATCTGATAAGCATGATGCCATGTGCTATGGAATATCCCTTTGGACAGTTGGGATCAGCTGGGGCTGTGTCCCCTCCTGGCTTCTTGTGCACCCCTGGCCTGCTTGCTGGTGGGGTGAGAAACAAACTGCTTTGATGCTGTGTGAGCCCTGCTCAGCAGTAACTGAAACATCCCTTTGTTATCAGCACTGCTTCCAGCACAAATCCTGTGAAGAAAACTGCCCCAGCCAAAACCAACACACAGCTTCTCAATTAACCTCTATCCCTTGTCTCTTCTTGGAATTCAGTCAGAGTAAAATTGCTATCCTAAAGATAAACCTCTACCTGGTTAACCTAGTAATACTCAGAACTCATCTGGCCTGTGTTTCTGCAACAAATCTAATTCCACTCTGTCAAACCTATGATTCCTTCACTTGTAGAAAACTGATATGCATTTTTGTGGTATTTTCTATTTTTTTTTTTTTCTCCTTTTGGTTTGTGGTTAGCTCTTTTGCGCTTTCAGAACTAAATTCCTGTTGCTACCTAGGCCAGAGCTCTGCTGTCTTTCACTGCAAGGGACTTCTGGAATAGGCACTTACCTCCTTCCTTTTGTGACAATTTGTTGTTGTAGGCAGTGTTCTCTATTCAATAATAATTACAGAATTATGGATACAGACTGTAAACAGCATCTCTCTTACTCTGCTTGCTGTCAAGCTTTATTTGGGTTTTTTGGACGCAAGAGGGTGCTGTGAATCCACATGTGCTTTTCTATAATTTTTTAGGTGGAAATACTGAAATTATGTGGATGTCTGCCTCCCCAGTTGTGACTTGCTGGAGGTGATGGGGTTTGTGTTTGGTTGGTTTTTAGGTGGTTTGTTTGGGGTTTTTTATGTTGCTGTTTGCTGTTGAATTGCATCACATCACTCTCTTTCAACAGTTTGTAGCATGGAGTGGCAGGCAGGTAACTCCACAGCAAATACAGAGGATTTTATTGCTAGAAGAGGCTTAGTGTTAGGAGAGGGGGCTGAGGGATCTTGTCTGTGATCAGCAGCAGTAGTCCAGGTTCTCTATTTCCAAAAACGGGCACCTGCCTGGATGGAACCATCTGTCTCATTGCCAGCAGGGCTGGGTCTTCCAAAGATGAGGGCTGAAATGTGTCTCCCAGCCACTTTGAAGATAAAAACTCCAAGCTGTAGTTGTGTGACACTGCATGTTCAGTATGAGGCACTGAATGGCACTTGGGGGAAATAAAAAGGGTTAAGTCTTCTCCAGGATATGCTTCTATTAAACTGCAGCAGCCATGGGGTGATGTGGCAAACAACCTCTGCAGCCATTGGGTGTGTGCTGTACACCTGGAGGTGAGCTCCTTGTCCTTCCTAGATGTTCCACTCTTTATTTCAGCTCACCCTTCTTTCCCAAACTGAGTAGGCTTCATTGTTAAAGGTTATTTTGGTGTGGTGTGCTGGGAGAGAGATAAAATTAATGATTTCTATTCTCAGAACAGTGGAAAACATTGGATTAAAATTCTTTGGAGGAGGTTCCCTAATGGATGGATAGAGACTGGTAAAAGTTTCAGTGATGCTGAGCCAGCGGTTAGCCTCTAGAAACAGAAATGTACATTATTGGGAGGCGATGGAAACACTGCAGAAATTTAGCCTCATGTTAACCCTGCTGTAAGTGTATTTCCATGGTTTCATTTCAGGGAGCTTATTCTGTGTAAATCTGACTTAGCTATTGCATCCTGTGTCTTGGGCTCTTTCAGGTGTCATTCTGCATATACATCTGTTCTGTGGGCTTGAAAGGTGGCCCAGCAAAGTCAGTCAGGTGTTACTTGACCTTGGGGAAGGAGAGGACAGGAGGTGATGCTGCTTCTCTTAAAGACTCTAAAAATCCTGAGGCCAAAGTCACCATCAGATTATAGATAGCAGATGACTTGGTCAGAAAAGATTTGAGTGCTCACAAGATCATGTCCTGTGTCTTGGGGCTTTAAACAGTGAAACTTTATGGAAGAATCCATTGCCAGAAGAGAGGGAAGGGGGTTTCCATCCCCATCATTCAACTCAAAATGAGACACTGGGCTGCAGAGATAAAAGTCAGTAGCAGATTGTTTTTAGTTATGGAAATAAATGTTCTGATTCTTGACCACCGTCTTCCTGACTTGTACTCTCAGGAGAGAGGGACAGGCTCTGAATGGGAAGCAGGGGTCTGGGCAGCAGTGATGGAATGGTTTTGGAAGAGAGAACTGAGGGCAAGATTTTTAGGTTTTTGGGCATACACACCCAATGCATTGTAAATAGTGTTTATTTGCTCAGTCAAAGGCAGACACAAAGCAATTCTTAAATTCAGTACTTTAAATCTCTCTTTCACTTCTTTCCACAGACCCAACCGTGCTCTTGACTCCTGTTCATTTGCTCGCCACATGCTCTTACAGACCCTCCACCAGCTGTAAGAGACAAGAGATGTGCCCTTCCTTCCTCATAGGACTCATCAGCAGAGAACTTGGAGCCACAAAGTGGGAAAAGATCCCACAGCCCATACAGACATGTTGGCTTTTTTTTTTTTTCTCCCTGTAGGAAGTCTGTCCTTCCTTCTGCTTTCATAAACTTGAAAAAATCCTGCTGAATTGTCTTCCTAATCCTCTTGAAGTGATTCCCTGGTCTGTAGGACAGGTGCTTACACTACAATAAGTCTGTACTGCTGTGAGCTCGGCATGAATTGAAGAGTTCTCCATTTTGGTTGCATTGGCAAGGGTGCCAAGACTAACATGGGGCCCAGAAGAGCTCTCATCTGCATTAACCCAGTTGGGCATTTTATTTTATTGGACTTTGAACTCCTGCCTTATAGCATTTAGCACTGTGCCAGGGGGAGGCTGTGCTGCTGCTGCTGCTGCCCTGCTTCTCTGGGCCATGGGGGTGCTGCTCATGGGTCAGAGGGCTGAGGTGTGATTCTCTTTGGTTCTTCTTTCAAGTCTGTTGTCAATGGCAGTGTGTGGCTGATGTTTATTTTAATGTACTCTTCCCCTTCTGCTGTGGCTTGGAGTATTTGTGTAGTGTGGCTGATCATGTTGGCCATTGCTTAATGGAGTGAACATATTTTATTGTAAATTTTTTTTTTGCCATTGCCTGTGTTGTTTATTCTTCCTGCCCTTTTCCTTCTCACTCTAATTAAATAGGCTTGGTTTGGAAATTAATACAATCCACGAAATCCCTGTGGAATGTGTCCCTTTCTCTTTCCTTTGACAAAACACTGGGCCTGTGTGCACTGTTCACATGTTTGAAAGCCAAGCACGTGTTAGAATATGGAGAGAGAAGGTTGTGCTTTTCTCTTGCACTGAACAAGTAGCAGCAGATGCCCCTAAATCTGTCTGGAGGATTGTCTGTGTTGCCCATATGTGCCTTCTGACCACCACCGCCACGTTCCTCCTTACAACATAGAAATCTTTATGGTGATTGCCTGAAATGTTATGTAAATAAATCTAACTTCACAGCCTTACTGTGATTTGTAAAACCTACACTGGGATTTGGAAGCCTGTTTTGCAGCTTTGTGTGACTGCAGAGTTTGCAGTGGAACACAAAATGGGACTGGAATGGAGCCTGGTTTGTGTGAGGAGAGAGGCACCAGAAAAGTGAGAGGGAACCAAGCCAGTGAGTCACAAACCTTGTTTCTGCAGCACCCCATCTGTTTTCTCGGTGGTCTCCTGCTCCTGTCCAAAACAGGAACATGGCAGAGGAGCAGGCTTCCCTCCAGGCATCCTCAAATTCCGAGCACAGTCTAAATGGGAAAAGCGGTGCCGACGCTTAGGAGCACTATCCTGCTTCTCAGCTGTAAGTAGCTGAGGTGAACATTGAACTTGTTACTGTCCCACATTCCCAGGATGAGGTAAATTTAAGCACTTCATCTCACTGGCTAGAAAAATAGGCTGGAATGCACATGAATATTCACAGGGATATTTACAGGAACCTGTGAGCTTTCCTTAAGAATGATTGGACTGAAAACTCCATCACAAGTCTTTCTGGTGTGACCTCATGCACAGCCAGGATTTGGTCAGCCCGTGTCTTGCTGGATTTCCCTCTGGAAAACTGTGGCTTGATGCTTTGACCATTTGAATGCTGATTTTTTTTCTCCTCCCCCTTACCAAATTGCATGGAGTAGTTCTTCAATTTTGCAGTGTTTGTGAGAAAATAAATGTAATCAAAGGGACAGATCTGTCAGGCAGAGCTCTGAGGACTTGCTAAGGTTGTACTGCCCCAGCATTCATAAAGGTCAGGTGGTTACAGACTCATGAGGGCAGCAAGACTTTCAGGGCTTTGGTCAGATTCCAAATTGGTGTGGTCAGTCTTGCTTTTCTTCAGAATTTGGGGCTTATTAGCTTGTATCTACTTGCCCTTTGTAAATATGCAAAATAATCTTTTTAAATGTGGCCTACTTAGCAAACTGGAGCACTCAGCTTGCCAAAATGTGTCTGTGCTTTGCTCTTACAGCACAGTGGCTTTGTCTGGAGTTCTCCCTCAGTGATTTTACACACCTACAACTTTTACAGTGTGCTGTGGTTGTGGGTGCAAAGCTCACAAGCAGTTGAGGAAGATGGAAGCTCTGGCTCAGGTTCTCAGCCACAGTTCTGAGACTGCAGATGAAGATTTTCATCCAGACAGAAATAGGGAGGAGTTAGGATGTTGTGATGTATTCTACAGGACAGCAACATTATCTCTTATGGGCCTCATTTTCTTGAAGACGAGAACAAAATCATTTTAGATTAATTTTGGCATGTTAGAACTGTCAGAGTGCCTCACTCTTCCTCAATTTCATTCACCTGCCTGAGGAAAGAAGCCTTTGGATCCAGCAGCTGTCAGGAAACGCAACTAATGATGATTATTTATATAATCTAAAAGTACTTTCTCTTCATTTGGGAACACTTGCACTCTGTCTGTGTGTCCTTGAGTTCAGCTGAACAGCAGCCAAACTGCATCACTGTTATTTCTTCAGTCTTTAAGAAAGCAAGAGAGCAAGGCTGAAGTAAGAAGGGCTTCATTTGAGGGGTGGAAAAAGGGGTTTCTCTGTGCTCTGAGATAGAGCTGTAAAACCTGAATTTCAAATTAAGAAACACAAGAAAAAATATTTAATATTCCTGACTGTAGGGTGAGCAGGAGCAAAAGAAGAAAAAAAATGATGGGTAGAATTCTTTAAGCTCATTAATACCTTTGGAGGAAAGTTTGCTGTAAAATGTCATCTCTGACTTCTTGCAAGCCTGTGAAATGAACAGAGGTTCTGAGTCCTAAAATGCACCAAATGCTGAAGAAAAAGCATAAATGGGAAATCCAATTTCATCAAACTTTCCAAACTAATGCTATCAATTAATTATTCAGTATTCTCACTAAATTACAGAATCTCAGAATGGTTTGGGTGGAAGGGACATTGAAGCTCATCTCATTCCCATCATGGGCAGGGGCACTTTCCACTATCTCAGGCTGCTCCAAGTCTCATCCAGCCTGGCCTTGGACACCTCCTGGGATCCAGGGGCAGCCACAGCTTCTCTGGGCAACCTGTGCCAGGGCCTCACAACTCTCACAGGGAAGAATTTTTTGTCTTCAAGAAAAATTACCCAGCTGATGAAAGTTTTTCAGAATTCCCCTTTTTAAAGCAACAGGAGAAAGCTCACCTAGGAAATTAAAATTTCTTCTTAAAAATGTATCAATTTATATTTATACTTTCTGGGTGAATGGAGGATCTGTGATAATGCCACACTTCCTTTCACAAATTACTTTTTTTTTTTATTTTCAGGGAAAGATTCATATTTATGTGACCCACACCTAAAAGAAATAGAGAATTGGATAACAAAAATATGCAGTTATAAATCAGTTAGGGTTATTCTACCTAAAATTTATATCTATGAGCTATGAAATAATAAACTTGAACATCATCCTATATTCACCTACCCCCAAAAAAAGTTATTTACCATCAGTAGCCATCAAATCCCATCTCAGAGCTCTGCCGAGAGGGATGGCCATTCTTCAAAGGTCTGCTGCAATCCAGAACTGTCCACATGGTGTGACTCAGCTTTTAAAGGTAATAACAACTTGGTTTTTTCTGTCTTCAAAGAAAATATCTTCTTTGGGGCATGTGGTGTTGGTAGTATTTGGGTTTTTCTGAATGGTGGTGGTGGTGACAGACTTTTTTGTATTGATTGTGGTTGCTGATTCTCATATTTTTCTGAAGAAAAACCCCCATATTCTAGATCTCCCATTTGGATCTCAAAGTGCTGAACAAAGGTGGATTCTGCTTTGGTTTAGACCTAGCTTTGCCTGTCACTTTCGGGGAACATGAAATGTTTCTGGTTTTAGGCTTTACTTACTCTTTCTAGAGCTGATTTATGTAAATAACTTGTAGCTCTCCTTCCCTGGCTTTGCTGGCTGCCTCTTTTCTGCTGGTGGTTTTAATTCAGGGTGTAAACTCTTCATTTCAAGGGTGAGTAGAGCTCCCAATGAACACAATCACACTTGAACTTGCCCTCTTGGCACTCCTGTAAACTGGGGATAAAAGGGAGTAAAGTTCTAATTTGGGACCTTGGATTCTTTAAATTACTAACACATACTCCCAGATACAACATCCTGAAAGGCTGGGTTTATGTGCATGAGTTCTCTTTGCTCCTCGCATTTGTTGGGATTGAAATCTGTTCCTTGCGTTTGTTGGGCCTTTGAAAAGGCCAGATTAATTCCTAAAGTGGGCGCTGTGTAATTGTCAAAATCAGCTCCTCTGATCTCAAACAGATGAGATTTGTGGTTTTTCCAAGCTCAGCTAAACCTGTTCAATAACTGCTGCCACAAGCTGCTCCTCCAGTGGGCTCTGGGAACGCAGGGATTGTTCCCATCTGCTGGTGGGATAGCAAAGGCCAAAAATGACAGTGGCTCCATCCCCTGAGGCATATTCAAGTCTGGATCCCTCTGACACCCAATGGTGTAACTTCTCTGCTTCTACAAAATGTCTGTGAAAGTCAACACATTTTTGCCCATCATGAAATTTATCCTGTATTTTTCCAAAATGTGATTATTTACCAAAGTAAGCTGTCCTCATGTTGGATTTTTTGAGCCTCTGTGCATTAAATCCTGAAAAATGTGGAGTTTGTTTTACTGAAAAGAATACTTATTATGTATAATGGTGAAAGCATTTGGCTTCTGACTGCTGGCTCTCATTCCACCAGTTCAGTCATGAGGTGGTTAAGGGTTATTTATAGCTGTTAGACATTCTTTAGGGATGAACACATCTACTGAAAAAACAAACAGCCATGCTGCTCTTAGGTAATTTATAGCAATTTTTGAGTTAGGAGATACCTGTGATCTCATACTACATGCTGAAAACACTGCATGCCAATGGAATTTGGTTGGGATGCTGACATGCTCTGAGGAAACTGAGATCCACAGCATCCAGTTACCCCTGAGCTGGGCAAGCCTCATTTACTTGTTCTGAGGAATTACAAGTAATTTTTCCTTCTCTCATCTTCTGATAGCACAGACACAAACAGAGTAAAAAAGATTTATTTTTGTTCCAGTACACTCCACTTGTTCTTCAATTTAATTAATTAATCCCACCAAGGTTGGAATACATCATTTTACAGGTAGCAGAAACTCAGGGTCTAGTTTCAGCAAGATGCTTCTAAATTTTAAATTATAAATTTAAATTAGAAGCTGTTTTTATGTATATATATATATATACACACCACACTTCACTGCCTGCAATTTAAGTGCACATCACCCTGGGTGCACAGTGAAATCCAGGCTGGGTGTGATGTCACTACAAGACAGAGAACCCATCACCTCTGCTGTGAAGTTGTGTGACTGCTGAGGTGTTCCCTGGCCTCAGGATCAATGCTGGGTTCAGTACATGTCTACTGATTTTAAACAGACCTTTTCTCACATAAAACTGAGTCCTACCACTGTAGGTCATAGAGGATGGCAGTGCACCTCTGTGAGCAGCCTGTCTGGCTCTAAATGTGTACTGCTGTGCCATGCAGGAGCCATAGATTTTCAGGGGAGGCAAAGAAATACCTTTATGACCTTGTGCTATCTGTTTATACTCTGAGTCATTAGAATGATTGTTTCTTATAAAAGTTATCTGCTAGCAGAGGAATATGTGGGCAAATGCTCCCCCTGACAATCAGTGTGCTTTGGATCAGACTCAAAACACACATATTATTAAAACTTAACTTTCCTTGACTCCTACTGAATGATTTGCCCCAAAAGGAAGTGTCTGACTCTCCTTAAAACTGCAGGTGATGGCAAAATTCCTGTCAAGCGCTGGAGGTCCAATGTGCTCCTCAGGTTAATTGTAAATTACTCTGGAACCTGCTATGCAAAAATGAGGTTTTGTTCCGCCTGTGGCCCACCAGTAGATTTGCAACAAGATTGTACATTGTCCTTTCCATCAGTGGAAAAATTTCAGGGATCCATAAATCAAAAAAAGATTTGACTACAGTCCACTGTATCCAAACATTCAACATCTAAACATGTTGCCTTTCTG